TGGATACCATCTCGGTCTTCATCCCGGTCTATTTCGAACCGAGATGAGGCCCGAGATGGAATCCAGAAAGTCCATCCTTCTGGAATGGACTTTCAGGGTTTCATCTCGGTCCTAAATCCACCGGGCTTAAAGCTGAGATGGAACCCTGAAAGTCAAAAATTAAAACAAAACAATGGAAGAAACAATAAATCAAACTTCATAATAACCTTGGCTACTTCAGATAGAGCCGAAGGTTGAAATCATTCACACCCACGCAAAGAACGAAGAAAAAAAAGGTAGAAAATCATTCACAATAAGATCGCGAGTTCGAAAGAAAAATTACCTCAATTAGGGAAGGGGGAAAGCTCTGATAGAGACGAAGTGAGGGAGACGAAGAAGAAACGGCGGAGATGAACTTTCTGGTTGTGAGGGAGAGACCGGGATGAAGACTGGGATGGACAACGAGATAGTGAATGAGGGAGGGGAAGGACCGAGACAGGGAGGGAAAGGAGGAGAGGGCTGGGTTTGATTTCTTTTTTTAAATTGAGGGTAACTTGTTAATTTTACCAAGCACAATAAGGGGAGAGTTCAGAAATCTGAGGTGGAGGGGTCATAAATAGGTAAAAATCAAAAGGGGGTCGAAAGTCCAAAGTAGTTATTGGAATGGGTCAAAAATCCCAATTTCACTAATGGTAGACAATATCATACTACTCTAAAAATATAGAGAAGTTGAACCTAACTTATGTGGATAGAATCCTTGAAAGACAAACAGAGGTGGAGGAGGCTCACTTTGCTGATTTCATCTATCTACAATTTTGGCCTTGTTCATTAAATGTAAAATTTAACACGAACAAAATTTTTACTCGTTGAAACACAAACATTTGTTCCATACTTTTCATAAAAGAAAAAGAGAAAATTGATAGAAACTATGGAGGAGATTGAGATTGAGGGTAAAATCAGCAAATCCAGAGCCTTTATGTGAATGAAACTCTCAAATGCGAACAGAACTTGTGAGATTATCTCAAAAGGATTTGTGGTTGAGCACTAATAAAGAGTTAGAGAATTGACTAGGATACGGATAGATACAATTTGGAGGAAGGCTTGGTGGCCTTTTGTTTGAGAGGAAAATTGTTACACAAATTTAACGAAGTCATTCAACATTAGTTAAAAATGAGAGAGATCTACAATGTATAAGTAAAAACAAAATCTCTATTGATTGATGTAGAAATATCTATTGATGTGAGTAATTTTGGGGTAGAATTCAAAAACAAAACTATATGGACTTTAGTTTTAAAAGCAAAACTCATAGTGGAGAATATTATACTATTGTGAAGATACACAAAGATTTGTTGTCCTAAAACCCTCCTCTCCCAGAGCTGCCTTATTAAGATGAAAAAAGATGCTCATTACCTTATAGTTTCCAAATCTAAAAAAGATGCCTACTTTTTGGTTGGTCCAGCTTGAAATTTGTTTTGGTTCAGTCTACAGCCCGGCTATCGCTATGCTTATTAAAATGGATCCAACTTTGGCTGATCTTCTCGGGTTGCAGAGAGCCAAAAATGAAAATGGTCTGGATCTGCTGCAACTCCACTGTCAACTAACGTGTTTCTTCCACAGCAAAAGGGACTCTTTTTTATTATTATTTCCTCTCCTTTAAACCCACTTTTCCTTTTCAGATTTATTATTAAAGAATGCAACTGCTCTTAGTATTGAAATCATAATATGAAGATCCTCAAGATTGTGAAGCAATAAAGCAGAAGATTTTTTGGGCCATATGGAGTCTTAAATATTCTAATAACAGAATTGCTTTTTTGATGTGATAATTGTACGGAGTAATGGGTCGCCACTGAGTCAGTTGCACGTATATAGTTGTAGTGAGATCAGTTGAGACAGAGTTGGCGCTTATTCAAAGTTGGGATAGCGGAACTTTAGCCATTCATTTCAGATAGTTTTAACTCAGTTTAATTGTCTACTGTTTTTCCTTCTAAATATAAACTAGAAATTATTGGGGTGAAATGATAAAACTAAAACTAATTCCTCTCTGTCTTATCCTAGTCAGTGCATCGGTTAGAAATAGGGGAGACTGCAAAGTTTAAAGCTTTATCTCTTATTCTACTCCTTTATCATTCTCCGTGTTTCAATATACATGTATCTTTTAAGAGCATATAAAAAATTTTGCAAGTGATTGTATGCACAAGACCAATAGAAGCATACAGAAGAAATGATGAAAACTCAAGAGGTACGAAACCCAGCAGCGTCCTGAAGCTCTTCAACTTCTTTTGCAAGCTCTTCTACTTTCTCCAAAATGTCCATGATGAAGAAGAGGAAGGTAGCAGTTGCAAGTGCATCAGAATTGTCCGGTGGGCCTAGCTTGGAAGCAGCGCTCAGTTCTTGTCTAAGCGACTTCAATTTGGGCAGTATGACACCCCCTATTTCACATTTTTTCATTTTCTTGATGCCTTCTCCAAGCTCTCTGAGAGTCCATGCTATGGATGACCCAGCCGTCTCACATGGCTCCTTCATTGCCTCTCTCATGCCTGATGACGCCGCCGCCTGATCTCACACAACTGAGTTAATGGGATCTTTATTATATTGAATTTATGAGAATGCAGTCATAGTCATATAGCATACCTGTCTTGGTGATTGAAGACAAGGTTTGATTGAAAGGACTGTGGCAGCTACCTCTCTTACAAGCTCTCCAATTTCCAGATATTTCTTCCATGGGTAGTTGATACCAAATTTTCCATGCCATGGTTCCCACTTCGCGAAATTTGCCTGACCAAGACCAAGAATGCAATATTTTTATTTATTGATTACTTTGAGTGAGTTCAAGAGAAAACACTGTATTATACTTTCTTGAAAAGTTAATAGCATATAAATATGTACTATATTATACCAGTGACTCCTCTTTTGATTTTGAGTTTAAGATTGATTTGCAAATGCTGAAACTGGTATCCGACTTCTTCTTCTTCTTCTTCTTTTCATCAGTTGAATTGAAGTAATCCTCCATGCATCCTGAGAAACAAATAACTGCTTCAGTTATTTTACTTTTATTGTTTGAAAACGAAGATATTGAAGCCAACAAGCTAAACTCAAAGTTGTATACTTGTATATCTTATTAATTAACTTCTTCATACTATTTGTTAATATCCCTCCCATTTTAATTTTTAACTTAAAAAAGCTACATATATAACCAAAACACACTCAATAAACAAACAGTGGCTAAAGAGAGATTAACTTTGGTCTCTTAAAAAACAAAAGCTTTGGATAATTGATTTGCATGATATCTGATAATTTCATATATGGACTGATGATCATTAGTAACCTTGAATGGAGTTGGCTATGTCATGGAAGTTGTGGGCTGTGGAATGATGAAGCTCGTCACTAGCCCAACTGGGGAAGATGAGCAAGCTTATGAGGATGCACACTGCAAAACCCATTCCAATGGTTGACAACCGTTCCCTTGCCAATCCCATTATCTTATCTGCTCTCATACCAGACACCACTATCAAATTAAACGTCAATATGAATATCATCACTCCATAGTCATATCTCTTCTTTATGCTCGGCACCAGCCGCGAGTACGTCGCTATCGCTCCTGACAAACGATCGAAAAATCTCAAAGTCGATCATTTATAATAACATAATGTTGTTTTTTCGTACTAGCTAGCTAGTACTGTTGTATGATTATTGTAATGGTAGGGATCAGATTTGATATATATTGAGAGATGATTGTAAAATTAGTTACCAAAGAGAAAGACAGTAGTTGCAATGATGATGGCGCTGGCAAGTCCACCAACATCTTGGGCGAAAGTTGCGGCCAAGCAGCCTAAGCCACCACCCAAGATGGTTCCGAAGGCTCGGTTTAGGCCCTTGCTCAGCGTGGCTCCAGCGTAGAACTCGAACACAACAACGACGGTCATAATAGCCCACATGGCATTGTCTCCCACCTGCTTGTAGAGAGGATCCAGGAGATACAGAAGTGAGACCACAACCAAGGCGATCCCAACCTTAACACTGTGGATTATTTTCCTCATATTTTGCACCTTCTTTATTCTGTCAGTGATGGCCGAGTATAGCAACCACCAATACTGCACCTTCTTCTTCTCCTCTTTTACTTCAACTCCAACTCCATGTCCATGATCTTGATCTAATTCTGGAAGCTGAATGGAGATTACTGCCGACCCCATGATCTTCTCACTTCTCTCAATTCTCTCTTAGCTTTGCAATGGGATATGTGGCTTGGCCTTGGGATCCTCCTATCCTCCATTTATATACACAAATTCATGCAACAGATCACAGCACTATGACATGTCGCTGGGAACAATAATAATTATTATATTAATGCCAAAACATCCATCTTCTCCTCCACTGCTCAATAGTTACACCACTCACCTTATTTGACATCTCTTTTTGGGTGAACACTGCTACAAATTACAATACCAACTAAACCCAAAATAATCAACCCTTTAATTTATTCATTTCATTTCTTTTTCTACTTTACTTTTATCCTCATTCCACAGAAATAAATACGTGCTCCATTGAGGGGAACTAAACCTTCATTAATTTGTTCTTCTTTTGGAAGGTCTTTGCTTTCAATACCAAATATGCAACATTATGATGTGAGTAAAAAATGCTTGAACCCACCATAGGAAAACAAAAAACTAGGTCTCACAAGTTATTTGTGCCAACTTTGTAAGTGGAGAAAGCTCTAATTATTAGATGCAAATTAAGACTTTATAATTTGTATGATTAATCTCAACAAAATAAAATCAAGACTTTATAATTTCATATTAATGCTTTATTATGAGAGAAAAACTTGAATAGATAACCATTTGTATAGCAAATTGGGACATCCATCGTTTAACTTTTTCCCTACAACCAAACATACATAAAAACTCCATCTTTTATGATGTCCAGTCTACTATATATATTTGTCATACTCTTATTCGTAAATATTTATTAATAATTTCATTTCATCATATATGAGGTATTATAAAAAACGAAAAAAAGGAAAAGAAAAGAAAAGTTAATGGCTAGCTTTTATAATATAATATCTTACTGGGAATAATACTTATAATAACTCACAACCAGATACCATAATTTGATTACTAAAAAGTACTGTGAAAGTGTTATAAAGCTAAGGGATTCGGGAGATTATTGTATAATAAGCAAGAACCTAAATAATTGGGTTGAATATTTGTCTGTATATATATATATATAAATACGAGTGTGCGTGTTAAAATATACAGATCTATTATAAAAGAAATTTCAGTGTTTTATCTCATTGTATCCACTTTCAACTGTCTGTTACGTGATCGTGTTTGATATTGCTTCCAAATTTTTAGTTCGGTTTCAATAGGGCACAAATTATATATATATATATATATTAAAACGCACATAATTATGTTATTGTTTGTTGCAATTGTACGGCACTTCATTCCTTTCATTCTTATTATAATTTTTACGAGCAGGGAAAACAATTAAAACACAAACCAAAACTGATTGCTGTCATCCCCGCAACATGATTTTTGCCCAATCACAGATCATGAAATGCAAAGGAGTACTCGAGTTTAAATGATTGCTGTCATTCCCAATTTCCATACAATTCATCATATCAAATATTAATTGCTGGAAGTGATGATCGTATATATGCCTTTGAACGCCTCCCTCATACGAAATGTAAGGATTATAATTACATATATAGAGCCAAGATATGGCAATATTGAATATGAAAAAACAAATATGTATCACAACTTACCTTTCAGCAGTTTTGTAATATATGTCAATTTACGTATGATCTTGCTCATAATAAGTTACCATTGTTTGAGTTATGTTACATCAATATATAACTTCGACGTGATCATTGTGAAACTTCACAATCAACTTTTGGTGTTAATTAAACGTCGTAACTTAACTTATTGCCTCTATGATTTGACCAAATATATGCATGGGTAGCTAAGCTAATATGATTACTATTACACAATCTATGGTGTGCCCTACCAAGCAACTTTTTAAACTTTCTCCTTTTCTGGTTATGGGCTTAATTGCCCTCTTGTTATGCAGCCTAAAAAGCTTTCCTACAATCTAATTTCTCCAGCTCAGGTGGATGGTCTTATTTTTTTTAGTGTCACATGTCCAACGTTAATAACGGTGAGGCTGAGCTTGCTTTTAATCTTGCTAGTGGGTTCATCGAGCTACCCCAAGTTTTTCTCATTTTTTATGCATAATGAAACCAACTCCATATAGTGGATCAGGTTCAATGAATTGGTAAATTAAAGTGTCTAAACCAAACTTTTCTAAACTAATCATGCTGGCAGCTCAAACGGGTCTAAAGAAAGAAGAAAAAAGGTCACTTGTAATCGTCTATATAACTTAAGGGAAAGATACTAAGTAAAAATATTTAGTACATATAACATAGATGACATGACAATAATAATATATTGAACATTATGATCATGACGTTAAAAGATCAATGTTACGTTAGGTTGATTAAGTATTTGCATCGTTAATTTTCAACTCCACATGTATGCTTGTTACGTACATAATTAAGTTTGCCATTTGTTTGATACGTGTGTCACCCAATTTTGATTGTTGTTTCAAATTTAGCTTGTAGGGAAGTATAATTCAATGCACCAAAATTGAATTGAACTGAACACATACAAATATACTAGATATTACTGTGTATAACAGAAATTATATTTCGTAAAATTATAGAAAATATGATCTTAATGAGGAGAGAAAGGATTCATCATTCCATACGCGTATTGGAAGCTTTCAGGGAAAGTGGGAGAGAGAGAGAGAGAAACAAGTCAAAATAGAACTAAATAAAATTAAACAAAGAAAAGGGTTTGAAAAAAGGGTTTGTTTTAGATTTGTCAAAATGTTATGTTGGTGTGTGTAGAAAATGAAATGAAAGACTTTATAAGTGCGCAAACTTTTTCTTAGTGCTTACACAAATATTTTCACTAAACACCACCACCACATTTAATACAACCATGACGCTGACATAAACCTAGCAATTAATTAGTTTTGTCTATCTTTCTTTTAATCATGAATACCAACTTTTTTTGTGTCTTCTTTTATTAATTACTTCTGCTTTCATTCAATAAAAACATTAAATTCAAAATCTACGCCGTCCTAATAATCTTATTGCATTCACATTGATAGTACATGTACGTACGACCAACAATAATTTATTTGTTAAAATGGTGATCATAATAATAATAATAATAATAATAATAATAATATATTTTTCATCACATCATCTTTTTATTTAATAAGTAAATCTTTAATTTGGTCACACCCAGGCCTCCTCTCCCAAATCTTTAATAAATCTTTTTAATAGGACAACAACTCACGGATATAATAATTTCATCTTTTAGGTCTTAATTTAATTGTGTTGTGTCCAAAACTTTTTTTTTTTAACAGAATATTGTTTCCAAGAAAAGAGAGTATTATAAATGATATATCGATTGTTTCGGAGTAATTTTAAAATAACTTCATGTTTTATTTAAGAGGTTAATTAATAAATTAATTTAAGATATCTTTAAATAGTCAATTACAATTCGAGATTAGCTCAATAATTAGAACTCTGGGGTTCAATTCCTTTTATCCTACATTTATTGTATTAAAAAGTAATGAATAAATAATAAATCGTGTAGCTGCAAATATTCATCTAATATCAAAATTTCAAAAATACAATAATAATAATATAAAGATAGAGATTCAACTTCCAACTTTTAGAAAATTAATAAGCTGTCTTAAAAGCTAAACTAGGTTTGACATTCAAGAAATATGTGTTATATCTAACGGAGGGAATAAAAGATAAGTATAGTTTAAATTCTGGAAAAAAGATAATTGAGTTTTTTTTTTTTAATATATAAGAAAAAAGATATAACTGATTAAAAAGAATGAGTTATCACAAAACACGGAAAGACCGCGGGATGGGTAGGAAGTATGTTTTTATGTTGCGTTTATTTGATTATGATTACGGAAAAGTGGTTGCAAAGTGTAACTTTAAAATTAATTAACTATATTATGATAGAAAAAAATTATTAACTATATCATATTATACTAATAAAGCATTATTAAATATATAATTTAGTTTTTAGGCAGGCTAAGTGTTTGAAGCCAAGACCGAGGAGGGCGTAATTTGGAGGAATCCCAACCCAACCCGACACAGCTGTAAAGTTTAACGCTTTTCTCCTACGCGGTTGCCCTCTCCCTAATCTTCCATCTAATCTTCCATCTAATCTTCCATTAAATATTATTCGGGCCAGTTTAATAATTATTTTGTTTTTTATTTTTTATTTTTGAAAATATGGTATTCAATTTTCCACCCTTTTATTTTTCAAAAATCATTTTAAAATCCTACGAAAACTTCAAAATAATAATAATAATAATAATAATTTTCAAAAATAGATTTTTATTATTTAAAATCTGATTATTCCTCTGGGTATCCAACTTTTTTTTTTCTTTCTCATATTTATTTCTAAAAAATTTCTCTTTTTATAAATTTTTTTTTCTAAATTTCTCTCCACAAAATTTATTTTTATCTCTCTAAAATTTCATATTTTAAATATTTATTGTAAGTTTAAGTTCTCTCTAAAAATTTAATCTTTTTTCTTTCTAAAATTCATCCTAATCTATTTTTCCTCTGAAAATATATCTTATTTTCTCAGTCAATTTTCTTTCACGGCAACTTTTATTTCTCTCTGTATTTATTTATTTTCTCTAAAAATTATTATTTTGAATCTTGTTTTTATCTCTACATTTTTTTCTACTATAATTTTTCTCATTCTTTCTAATTTCTTTTGTTTTTTCTTTTAACATATCTTTTCCTGCTCCAAGAACAACCCTGTTCCTGATTTCAATTTTTAAATAATTAATATATATTTATTATACTTTTTATTTTTTAAATTCTAAAAATAATTAAAATTAATTATAAAATTGATAGTTTTTCTCGGACCGAAGAACGAGGTGGAGACGAGAACTAAAATTTTTCATGAGCACGAGAATGAGAGTGAGCTCACTCCCACCCACACCATTGTCATCTCTACTCTACATAGAATTTTCTCTCTCTAATATGTATTTTCAATTTTCAAACTTTTTAATAATAGAAAATTAAAAATGGTTAATTACCGAACATGTTTCTTTTCTGTTTTTTAAAAAAAAAACAAAAAAATGGTAATAAATTTTGTTTTCTAAAAACAGAAAACCGAAAGCTAAAAATAAAAGAACAAAAAAACACAAATCTTTATCAAACGGCCATCAACTAATTAATTGTCTCCGGCCCGTTATTTAGTGGTACATAATAAATATCAAATACTACAACATCATAGACAACAAACTGATA